ACCGGCAGCGCTGCCTCCAGCGGGGACTCCTGCGGCTCGCGCGCGCCCTCCAGCGCCAGCTCCGACACCGACTCGGAGAGTAAGCCATCACGATCACGCCATCACGGTCCTGATTCTCTTCTCCCGCCGGTTCGAGAGCAAAAAAGCGATTGCAGCGAGCCAGATTTAGTTCCTTGAGCGTGGCACGGCGCATGGCCCGTGCGTCGTCTCGCTGCCAAACATTCGGCAGCTGTCATACCGTGAGATGGAATGACGCGCCTGCTCGGCCTTCCCTGGGTGACGCTAGTGCTCACGCTAGTGTGCGCACTAGAGGCGCTCGGCAGCTATCAATAACCTCTCATTTGCAGCGCGCTTGGCTGCGCGGCCTGGGAGTGCTTCTTTGTGTGATAATCATGACAGCTTTTTCCCTTCTTTTCGCAATGATCGAAAAAGGGTGCTCCTTAATGAAGCGCATGCTCTCTCTCTCTCTCTCTCCATCCCGTTTAGACGTGTGGGTGGAGGTCCTGCTGTCCTTCTCCCTCCGACGGAACATCGCCACCATCTTCGACCAGTCGGTGGGCGCCGACACCATCCCTACCATCCACGGGCTGCGCTCCATCTCCATGGCCTGGGTCATCCTGGGACACACCTGCATCGTGGCCTTCAAGTACTCAGGTGAGCGACACAAACATATCAATTAAAATACAACAATACTCCCAGAAATTTGAACCATGGACCATGGGGTTCCTTCGTCGAAATGTTATATATTTTCACTATACCTCTGCGGAAATGACTTCTGCATTCGGGCGACCGTGAAAATGTACCTCACCCCTCGTATATTTGTGTTTGCAAAATGCGAAGCTGGATGCTAAAAGGTACAATAATGGCGCTCGCCGATGACGGCCCAAAGTCAAGTTCGCGGGTATGAGGTCACCGAGGTCACGCAGGCCGCGTCCCTTGGTGTCACGCGTCGCTCGTGCTCTTCGTCGTGAGAACGCCGTTCGTCATGTTTGTCGGCGTGCCAGGACCCGCCCCCCGGTAGTAGTAGAGGCAGGGAGCGAGAGAGGCAGAGACATACAGTCACAGAGACAGAGAGACAGACAGAGAGAGAGACAGAGAGGCAATGTCTGTCTCTTTCGCTCGCCCGTCACAGCCCCGTGCAGCTTGCTCTCTCGCACAACCTAGCCGGCCATAAGCCACACGCATTAGCACCCTCGATCACTTTACGGCACGAGCTGCTGGTCGGCTCCGTGGGCTGCTTCCTCATGAGGCTGCCTATTATTCACATGGTTTCAGTCAACTCATTTTAGAAAAAAAAAACTCTAAATTTGCTCCTTCCTTTTGAAATTTGGACATTAACGTTTAAATTATTTGCTCGGTCTCACTGAACGACCCGCTGCTTCTTCCTTTCCAGACAACATGGAGTTGCGTGGACTGGTGGAGAAGGAGCTGCTCTTCCAGACCATTCTCAACGGCGCCTTCTCCGTGGACACCTTCTTCATGATCAGGTGAGCGGGGGGCCGCTGCTGTTTGCCGTCGCTGTTTGAACAGGGCGCCGCAACACGAGGACGGGCACTCCTTAGCCTTGCGCCGCGCGTCCTTGCAGAACGTGCTGATAATGCCTACACAGGTATTCGCAAAATAAAGCAAAATGTGTTGAAAAAGCGAGTTGAGCTGCGGGCGACATGGCGAAGTGGCAAATAATAATTCTTATCGCATAGTTACCCCAGAGTACTGCTAAAAGAAACGCAAAAACAAGTCGGTTTTTTTTTTTGCAACTTGGCAAACACTTGT